GCAACCTGCTATAATTTACTATGCAACCTGCCCTTGATCACATTTTTGTCAGTGCTCTCTCCTCCCTTTTATTCCCCCAGCAGAAACACCAAAACCCCCCGATAATATTGAGGTGATTTTATATAGACATTGTTCAAATTTGGTAGGCACAAGTGCCCCTGGCGGAGGCTAAGAAAAAGGCTGACATACATTCAGAACCATTAATATATACAGCATGTGCAGTATGATCCTGAAAGGGCAAAATCATGTTAAAGGTTTATGTAGATAAACCTCGAAATACAATAGTGACAGGAAATTTGCTCTAATGTGCACATGAAGTGAAATGCTACCAAAGAGTGAGGTATAGTGATTTACAGTAATTTCTTTCCTGGATGACTAGTCAAAGAAGGGGCTGAGTGCTTTTATATGACGGTCCAAATATCTCACAATTGAGATCTTTCAACAATTCACAAAGCAGCAGAAAAGACCTTTAAAGTTCTTTCAAGAACTTTAAAAGAAATTCAATGCCCTTGTCTATTTTCTTTGAACGCTACCAAGGAGTTTGTTTAAAAAATTATGAAACTGGTTGAGCTGTCTAGCAAGTCATGTAGACCTATGAACATGGTACATTTGTACTTTTGCTTTTTGACATAAATCACTGAAGTTATGGAATGATTAACAGTTTCTCTCCTGAGACAGCTGTAATGGTAATCTCTGACAGAACTGACCCCAAATTCTCAGACACTTAATAAAGAAACAGAAACAAGTTTTCTTCTCACAGTCTAGGTATCACATCATGCTTTCTCAGAGTTCACATGTTGCTATAATTGCTGTTCGCATGTTTTTTGAAAAAGGGTCACTCTAAATTCTTCCTAGCATCCACATTAAATATTTACATTCAGGCCTAAGATGTCTTGTAAAATTTTAATAGCATACCCTCCTATTTAAAAAAAAAAAAATAACAAAACCTCAGCCCAAATCCTAGCTCATATATGAAGCAAAACATTCTAAACACTGTCTAAACTGTCATTTCTTCCCAAAGTGCCAGGATGTTTATGCTCTTGCCTAAGAGGAGATAAACAGAGCAGCATACCACTCCATATTTGTAAATGTTAACTCTGCAAGGTAGAAGCTGCCTTCTGTATGCACCAGGCTTCTGTTTCTTCACTGGTCAAAAAGCCATAATATGACATATGGGTATGTGTAAACTCAAACAACAATCTATGACCCTGCCACAGAAAAACATGCAGTCGCAATCTTTATTCCACATATCATCCGGACTCCAAGAAACTTTTCAAAATTGTCTCCAGAAATGCATCTGGAGTGTGGTAGATCTATACCACTTCTTTAAAAATACTGTGAGGATCACATATCGACCCACCAACCAAATATTGTATAAGGCCAAAGTACTCGCACCAACAGGTAGAAAATTGAAAGCAAAGAACCCAAAGACACCCCTTTTATGTGGATGTGTCATTCCAAAATAGACTCCTGCAAGCATCCTGGTTAATATAACATACTGTTTGCCAAATATGTACTTTAAAAATAGCAGTCAAATGTATGGCATACCTTGAGCGATGTTTAAGCTGTCTATGTTTTGTTATACAAAGACTATGATAAGTTAGAACATGCTGCCAGTGGAAAAAGAAGTGAAACAGCAAAAACTGAGCTGCATAAGATTCTTGAATGAGTACTTAATGGAGAAGGTCAAACCATAACAGGCATGTCTTAAGTTTAATAAATCAGAACACTTAGTCAGATGACTAAACATGGATTTAGGATCTCCGGTGATTCAGATGTTTATGGTTTGGCAACTAAACCTACAGTTGGGCATCTAAGGAAAAGTGTCTGGTATACCAGAAGTCTGTATACCTACAGCATGTAGATATTGACATTCTGCCCAGAAGAGCCTGAAGTTATACACTCTTCTTTAAAAATCTTGGTGTAGATTTCAGTTTTAGCAGTATTTCGTTTTGTGAGAAACTAATAATGTAAGATTTTTTGCATTTCTGCTAAACCCTGATCAACTGATTGTTGTTCCTCAGAACAACAGAAACTTCTGTGTCTCCCTGTTTAAAAAAAAAAAAAAAAATCCAGCCTCTATGACATCTATCTCACAAGCTCAGTAAAGCAGAAGTTTTGCATTTGTTATTACTGGCCAGAACAGTATTAACCTCAGCTGGGACAAGTTATTAATTTGTGTTACTAAAACTTCTTTTATGATCGATATTACTCATCCTTTTTCTTTTGTACAGGCAAAAGTAAGTTGAGGACAAAGTTGCTGTTGTTTTCAAATGAACACTAATTGTGCAATTTGGAATTTGTTTTTGACTCGTAGGTTCGCAGCAAGAGCAAAGCAGCTAAGGCTGGACTGTGTGAGGGAGATGAGGTGGTGTCTATCAATGGCAAGCCTTGTGGAGACTTAACTTATGCTGAAGTTATTGTTCTGATGGAAAGCCTGACTGACGTCCTGCAGATGCTTATCAAGAGGTACAGGAATGCTCAGAATGCTTTGGTGCGATTCTGTTCAGTGAACCACATGGAAAATGCACCCATTTTGCAGACTTACACTGTGAGCTTCTGATAGTCCTCATTAATGTCTGGAAAATGGAGGGAAGACAGATTATTTGACCTGAAGGAATAAAGTCGTATATGATTTGAACAGCACAGTTCAGGCACATAATCAAGAGTACAGTCTCCAAATGTAATGATTTTATTTCTTATTAAGTATTCTTAATACTTACAAGGTGTCCACCACCATATTTACATACTGCAGAGTCTTGAGTTCAATTATTCTTTCCACCCCTTTGAAGTACTGAAGTGTTGTTATTCCCCATAGATAGGGAAGTGAGGCTTACAAAAAGCAAAGGCTGTACAGATGAAGAAAGTGTGTCACACAGATATGCCTTGATGATGACATGGCAAATGATCGTCTTTGGTGGCAAAATGTGTTAGTAGTCAGGAGGGGGAGAGAGTCTGGAAATCATGAATTCTATTTCTGTAGCTGTTATCACTTCACTAGATGAGGTGGGGCAAGTCACTTATAGCTCTCTGGGTCTCAGCTTCTCCATTTATAAAATAGTGATAGTGAATTTCAGTTTTATTTGAAAATACTTTGAGCTTCTTAGAGAACCTTCATGTAAATTTACAAGCCAGCCATCACTACTGCTCACTGCACATCAGTATATCTCAATGACTGTTCTGTCATTGTCATCAGTGTAATTTATGCAATCAGGATAATACATGCAATCTTGAGTTCAGAATCACCTACAGTAAGCACATTCTCCCCAGACTCTGAATTCAGACAAGATGAACTCTGAATTGCCTTCAGTATAGGTCAGAAGAAGAAAATACCTGAGACTTCCAAACTCCTTGTAAGGAATTATGGCTCTCACCTAAGCTACTGCAGTTCCCTGTCTGCTGTCCCACAGACAGGACCAGGAGGACAGAAGGGGTCAGGGACTTGTCACAACAGCTAACAGAGCAGTGTCACTGGAAAGGCTGAAAGGACTGTAATGCAAAAAAGACACTTGTCTCTGGTTACCAGGGATGTCTAAATAGCATGTGAAACTCCTCTGCGGTTTCTGCAACCTGTGTAAAGAAACTTTCCTAAAATGTCCAGTAGTTCAAAGTTACAATCTGCCTTCAAAATGAGATGCTCTAAAGGAATATTTTACTTACAACAGACATTTTGCATGGTCTATCTGTGCATGTTGTCTTGGGCTGAGTAATGGATCGATGTGATGAGATCAGAGAGGATTACAGTTTACCTTCTCCATAGTGCATAGCTCTTATTTCTGGTTCAGCAGTGTACCATTTAAATGCTCCTCATGTGATATCTGCATTCTTCTGGTTTTAATTCATAACATGACTACTGAAACTGCACTTGTAAAAATGATACTTGTGGCTGACCAGCTGTCTTCTTTGCAGGCATAGAAATAGCTCCATATGCTTTAATTCCTGCCTGTTGCTGCTCTCTAACTGATATTTTAGTTGGTCTGAAGGGCACAGTATGTTCTAGCTTAAAGTGGCAGCACATCTTCCATTCGCTTCATTGCCCGTTTGAATGTATGGCAAATAGCAAGACACCCCTGAAAATCAGAACCAAAGCAGAGTGCTCAGGCCACATAATTCAGTGTTTCATGGAATGAAAATGTGTCTGTTAGAAGTTTTAAGAAATTTGCAGTTGCTCAACACTCTGAAAAGGACTAATATGTTCTAAAGGAATTCACCATGAGAATCTTCGGATTTCTCCTCATCAGCTCATCTCCCCCAACTCCCAGCCCCTACTATCAGTATCTTCCAGGGTATGGGAGAATAAACTAAAACACTTCTTCTCCCCTGCCACCACCTTTGCGGGTAGTAGCCCTCTCAGTACTCCCACTAGAAGGATTTTTCAGAAAGTGCCTTAGCAACCTTTGTGAACAATGAGAAGCATATCCCTCCTTTCCTGAGCAGCCACTTGTTAGAAGCCATCTCAAGAAATCATGAGGAAGGAATAATGCATAATTAAAGTGGTGTTCCAATGGTGATGTTTACATCCAAGCATCTTTCATTGGTAGGGAAGAATATTTCTCCTTGGGAAGCTTCAGACTGTTCCTGACCTATTTGCATGAAGGATGAGATTTTCACAGGCATTCATTGTTGGACTAATTCTGCTCTTACTAAGCTTACTGGGAAGAAAATTAGGCTTTCGATGTAGTTTTTAAAATGTTACTTGGTCTTTGATGTCTACAAAAAGTTCTCCCAATCCCCTGTAAACCACAGTCAGTGACTGACCAGCAGTGCCCACAAAATCGTTTTCCAGGATCAGAGGAAAGAGACACCCTGCAGGGCGGGCACTCTCCAGATGCCATGTCAGGGAGCATCTTACTGACCTTCCCGACAAATGCTGAACAGATGTATCCGGGAAATATTGACAGTGGGGACAGAAACAGAGAAGCTAGCCCGCCCTTTTCACATTAATGTTAGCAACTCTTTGGACTACTGCTGAGTCTAGAAAGAAAATTTCTAGGGGGAAGTAGGGAGTGTGCTCAGTGCATACCAAAATGAAATGCACCATGTAGGGAGTAAAACATGACTCTGAGACAAACCCTGCTGTGCTGACTCCATGAGTTCTGCTTCCTTCCTGGAATTACACCAGGGGTATTGTTCCTGCAGTGAGCTGGAAAGACCTGGAACAAAAATAATAATTTGACAAAACAGAATCTTAAATGACAAAAAGATATCAGACCCAGTGTTCTGCCTCTTGACACATGGATACACATTTATGTCTATGTAGAGTAGAAGTATATCCGTAAGTAGCAAGGGCCTTTTAAGGTGGAAATCTTTCCCTCTCACACATACACACAATCCCTCAGCTACCAATAAAAGCTAACATTTAGCTGGCCCGGCCCCCAGTCTTATATCTTACAAGGAAATGTTTACAGATTTCTGTAATTTATCTGTACTTAAGACCAGTACAATTGATCATCCAAATAGCACAATACAGCAGCAGCATTTACAAGGAGCTCCCTATGTTAAAATCTGTCCGACTTTATGTAGCTCCATATGTGGTTGAATGGATGTTACATATTTTGTGCTATGTGAGGCAGACTCATACTGCTATAAACAGTATGCTGCACGGCTAGAAAAGCAAGTGATATTGAAGTTTCTTCAGTGTACTGACAGATTTATTTGTTCTGTTTCTTCTTCCAGCCTTTCTTTGTATGGGGTTCCAAAGTTTCAGACTACATGGGACTTGCTTTTGATTTCAGAATTCTCCATGATACTTGATATTAATACTTTACTGAGGCTGAGGGTACCTACTGCTTCCCTCATTTGAAAAAGTGCTTTGCTACTTTCTATTAACAGAAAGCCTTAATAAAATGGTGCAAGTCTCACTGTACAGAAATGGATTCTTCTGGAATTAATAATAGCCAGTATGGCCCAGAGTACTCAAAGAAGCATCTAGACTACACTAGGAGACCTAACATCAGTAAAACAGCCTAACTGGGTCAGGAGAATGAATAGTTTAAAAAAGGAAGCTACACTGAGGTACACAGTAGGCTTCAGGAAGTCAAAGTAACATTTGCCAGTTAAAAATATGTATTTTTTAATAACTAGGAAATATTGCATGGGTTCACTACCCTTTTACACTGGATCACTGGAATAGGCCCAGAATGTTTTAATTATTCCATGATATATAAGGATGATGGTCCTCACAGGAATTCTTTGAATACGTATTTTAAGTATTCATTCCCCTCCCTCTGATCCTCAACTAGTACTTACCTATTCCTTAGAGAGTAAACTATGTGGGACAGGAACAATGAGCATGGTGCCTAAAACAGCTTTAAACAGTTGCAGTAGTACCCACAGAGACAAAAATTAACCACACTTCTGGTGTCACGCAAAGTTAATTTTCTCATGAACACATGAAATATGAAGAACTATTGTCCCAGAAGTCTCAGTAGCATTTGTCTGGAAACACTATAAAAGAAATGTGTCTGTGAAAGCAAACTAATGTTAAGAGTGATATAATTCAACATTGCAGAAGGATGGGAGCAGGATCATAGTTTTACCGTAGTAGTATAATTTCCCTTTTACTGAACTATTAAGTTGGAGAATTTTGAAGGATACAGAGATGCATCAATTTAAGACCTCTACATTCTGGGAAAATTCTTCTACTTAAATGGACCTGCTAGCAGGTACCACAATTAATATAGGGGAAAAAGTAATATACAGAAATTGTTTTTTGTAACTTTACTTACAATTGCTGTGTTTACAGCAGCATAATTTCTTGAATTACTCATTTATGTATGTGCAGATCCTCCAATGGAATAAATGAAACTTTGAGTGCTGAAAGAGAAAATGAAAAGCACGATACCATAAAAAATGAGGACTATAGGGAGAGCACTACACTGCAAATTAACACAGCGCAAGAGATACCCCATGGAGATTTATGCATCACAGAGATATACAGTGAGACTCACCAGGGAACAGGAGAAAGCAACATACACTTTTCTGAAATGAAACAAGAGACCACACAGAGCCACAGGATTGCTCCTAAAGTGATAGGCACCTCCAAAGTGCTCGTGACAGATGAGGCTGCTTTCAGAGGGAAGACAGAAGAAAGAAGGCCAGGTACTATGGTTGAGCTGCAGCTGTCCCTCTCAAATGACGCACACAAGGGCACCAGTGCTCCTGCTGTGACTCTCTTAGGGGCAGAAAAATGCACCCCTTCAGGAAGAGGACCCAGTGTACAACAAGATGGGACTAGCCCTGTAATTGCAATTCCCCTGGGCATGAAAGAGAGCAACATCCAGTGGTCAAGCAAAGTAGTCCAGTTTTCTAGTGGCAAAGAGGTCAAGAGGATCCAAGGTGCAGCTCCATCTCTCCCCAGGGTGGAGGTGATCCTAGACTGTTCAGACAGAGAGAAGGAAGCACCCAGGTCTCTAGCTGAAAGGGGGTGTGTTGATTCTCAAGTGGAAGGAGGGCAGTCAGAAGCACCTCCTTCTGTCCTCTCCTTTGCAATCGCATCAGAAGGCACAGAGCAGGGAGAAGACGACCAGCACTCGGAAAGGGATCACAGACCTCTCAAGCACAGGGCAAGGCACGCAAGTAAGTATGTCCCATCTAATCATATGCACTGCCTGAGGGTATCTTTTGTAACTTTAAACATAATTCCAGAATTTAGTCTGTATTAGAAAAAAAATGTTCAGTTTTTTTCTGCAGTTTTCTAACTTTCCCTCTATCTGTTTCTTTTAAATGATGTTTCTGCTCTTGCTTTATATATTATTTCGGGTTAATACAATGGTCCTGGTGATGAGCCAAGTGTATAGCCATGCCTTAACTGTGCTGAATAACTTTGCTTGGTAGACTTCCACTTTGAAATTAACTCATTACTTTGTCCAACTAAAAATACTTACATCTCAAAAAAAAAGCTGAATTCCACTGGTCTTTTAATGTATATTCAGAGGTAATCTGTAAAATATTAACAAAAAAAGCAAGTTGCTTGCACATGTCTAAATGAATCCTGGGGATTTCTCCTTTTATAGCAAAAAGTTTGTGTTATTTGCATCATCTAAAATCAAAGCCATGCCACTGCTCTTAAAAGTTAATAAAAAAGGCTAGCAGAAAAGCTTGATGTTGCCTGCAGAAGAGATTTTGACAGACACTAGCATGTGTATAACCGTTACATGATCCCTCCAGTTTTGCCAGTCTTCTCTAGACTGTAAAGTGAACACGCTATTTTTTCTGACTCCCATACCCAGAGGTCAGCTTCAAAATGTGTCCAAGAAGTTTACATGAAAGTAAACTTGAAACTGGGTCCAATATTAATTGAGTGTAGATACAGATTATCTATCTATCTATCTATCTATCTATCTATTAATTTATTTATTTATTAATTATTTAATTCATTTGGTACCTTTCTATTGGTTGCTTGCTCTTTCCCAACAATGTTAAGAATCCTGTCTGGGGATTTAGTAGCAGCCGTATGTCAAAAGTGCTTGAATGTGTGCAGTGATATACTGTAGCAACAAGCCATTTCATAGGCAGTGTTGGAATTAGTCTGCTAACCCACTGCTAATTCCTCTGTAAGCATATTTTTAGCATGATAACCATTTGTATCTTATTGGCAAGTAGATTAAGCAGTTACTTATGCCTAAGTGTCTGTATGCAATCCACATATTTTTGGCATATTAAATGAAGCGTAAAAGTGCACATGCTTTACATTTTGCCTGAGAAGCTAGAACCAACTGTGGGACTGTGCCTGTCTTAGAGAATTACTTGCAGTGCCTGGCTAATAAGGCGAAAGTACAAAGAATGAACTACATATTACATGATAAACTCTTCTTTCAAGTAGGAATTGATCTATGACAATTTCAGTTCCTTCTAATCTAGCAGCAGGTCATTATCCTTAGGAACTACTGATTTAATCTATAAAAATGTTTGCTATTATTATTACTATTATTATTATTTGTAAAATCCTATCTACACATTAGAACAAACATAATGCCAAGCATAGGGAAATAAAGCAAATACTATGCATGTTTATTTAAAAGTTAGAGCACAGCACTGAAGTCTAAACTAGAGAAGAGCATTTATTATAAGTGTTTGATGTCTTTAGCAGACATTTTCTCTTTAGATAGTCATCAGATTATATTTATCTGAACAGGTAACATTTCTTAAACCGTCTTTTGAAACTATTTATTAACTAACTATCCAGATGAATTAAGAAAAAATACGCTAGTAAAATTAAAATTTTCAATATTTGCTTTCCACAGAACTGTATGGGTACCTGGTGAATCCCTTTCCCAGAAAAAAAACACTCAATGCTGGTGCAGGCAGCTTATTTCAAAGTGTAGAATTTACATGCTTTCTGTTTGCAGAGATTAACAATAAAGCACATACTTTTGGAAAATTCTTCAGTGACTACTGTAAGCATTTGAACCGCCAGAGGACTGAGCCAAGGATTTGGCCCTCTCACCATAAAATATTTTGGTGATTGCTGGTTCAGGTGGTATGTTCTTTTCTCTTTTATAGGTTCTTGTGAGAACCATTGGTCCAGTCATGCTGTCATCTGGCATAATGGCAAAACTCCAATTGTCTTTAATAGGAGAAGTATCAGACTACACCTACTGACATGGCTAAAAGAATCTTTATAGAAAATACATCACAAGTCTTTCTTTAATGAGTTTGCTTTATCCTAGCAAAAGACACTAAATTTACTGTTCTGTTTTAATATATCAGAGGCATGCTTTTTCCTTTTGAAATTAAGTGGAAGGGGACCACTGATTTAGGCTGGAAGAGCTTTAATGCTAGCTTTTTTAAAGGGAGAAGCTATTGAGGTTGTCATTCATGAGATGCAGTGGTAGAATATAAGGAAGGGAAAGAAACAGGGACACCACCTGACTAGCATTGCCCCATGAGGCACATGCTTCGTGTCGAATAACAAGGAAGCAGTCATGCTGACGTACAGTGCATCTATCAGCTTTACAGCTGCATCTATTCCTGTTCCACATGACTTGATGAAAACCAATGATTTATGCTTTAACAAATATGTATTATTGACTTATGCTAGTGAATACTCTTGAGAAGTTAGTTGAGTCTCCTTGATTCGGTTGTTAAATATGCATTCATTCTTGCCACATTTTCAAAATAAATAGTCTGGAGCCGTTATATCGTATACAATTTTGGATTATGTTTCAGGCAAGTAATGCTTCTTAAAAAAATGAAACCTGCTTCCATTGAGTACCATGGCCAAACTCCCATGTCTTCCAAGAGGCTGAAAGTTAATGCTAATAGTTTCTGTGTATGCCTTTGTGAATGTATATTTGTTTTTAAATAGTTAATAGATAGAAGCATACCTACTTTTAGAAACTATATGCATTTTGTTATTCATATGAGTAAAATAAACGCATAAATGGCAGAAGCTGCTACCACCATCAGACAGAATACACTCAGTTTCATTTGGTCTCAGATGTTAAGCAGTCATGGGCACGGCTGGCTGGAAATGTCTGCTGTAAGCCTAGGAACTGTGGTCAAACAATTGGTAAATACCAGACCATAGAAATGGAATAAATGAGAAAATATTGTCAGCCTGTTGCTGCTGAGATTATTTATGGGAATAAAAATCAAGAACACTAGAAATAACGACACATGTAACAATGCTGTTGAACTAAGAAAGTCCTAAAGAAAGTGATGTGGCCTTTGAACTTGCATGGGTGTGTCTCTAAGGAACGCTGAGTATGGAATTTTTAACACAGTCGATACTGTGGGAAAGCTTAAGTATAATGACTCCTCCACACAAAAGAAAAGAAATGTCTTAATATGGGGGAAGGAGACAGTGGGTAAATTTCAGTATAGATAAATGTGGAACTATTTGTTGTTAGTCTCCTTGTACTTTTGTGGGCTGTGTGTTATTAAATGTGCACTTCAATTGTTTCCACAGGGCTCCGGCGAAGTGAGAGTCTGTCAGAGAAGCAGGTCAAAGAAGCCAAATCTAAATGTAAAAGTATTGCATTGCTGCTGACAGCAGCTCCCAATCCCAATTCCAAGGGGGTGTTGATGTTCAAGAAGCGTCGTCAAAGGGCAAGAAAATATACTTTAGTCAGCTACGGTACTGGGGAGTTAGAACGTGACGAAGACGAGGGTGAAGAAGGTGAAGGTGAAGAGGGGGACAAAGAAAACACTTTTGAAGTGAGTTTGCTTGCAACAAGTGAGTCAGAAATAGATGAAGATTTCTTCTCTGACATTGATAACGACAGTAAGATTGTGACGTTTGATTGGGACAGTGGTCTACTTGACGTTGAAAAGAAGACAAAAAGTGGAGACGAGATGCAGACGCTTCCAGAGAGCACAGGTAAAGGGGCCCTCATGTTTGCCAAGAGGCGGCAGAGGATGGATCAGATTACAGCTGAGCAAGAGGAGGTGAAGACACGCACAGTGCATACAGAGGAACAAAGGGAAGCCACCATGTCAGAGAACTTCCAGAAAGTAAGCTCTTCAGTCTATCAAACAAAAGAGGAAGAAATGTCAAGACAGCAGACCTCTGTGAGCAAAAGCTACACAGACATGAGCCAGAATCACAGCAAAATGGTACAACAGAATGGCTTTGGTTTAGCACCAGACACAAACCTGTCTTTTCAGTCCTCTGAAGCTCAAAAAGCAGCATCTTTGAATAAAACAGCTAAACCCTTCTCTTCCGGAGTTCAAAACCGAGCAGCTGCACCATTTTCACCCATAAGAACTGTCACTAGTCCTCTTTCAGATATACCAGCACCACCACCTTACTGCTCTATTAGCCCACCACCTGAGGCTTTATACAGACCTGTTTCAGCTCCTGTAGCCAGCAGAGCTGCCCCAACTGTGTGGTCCTTCACCGAGCCAACAGAACACATAGCATCCAGAGATGAAAGGATTGCAGTGCCAGCCAAAAGAACTGGGATACTGCAGGAGGCAAAGAGAAGAAGCACTTCAAAACCTATGTTCACTTTCAAAGAAACACCCAAAGTAAGTCCTAATCCTGCCCTGTTGTCTCTTGTACACAATGCAGAAGGCAAAAAAGGTACTGGAGCTGGTTTTGAGTCAGGACCTGAAGAAGACTACCTCAGTTTGGGAGCTGAAGCTTGCAATTTCATGCAGACTCAAGCATCTAAACAAAAGGCCCCTCCTCCTGTTGCTCCAAAGCCTTCACTCAAGGTCTCTCCTACTGCTGGTACTCCGGTTTCCCCAGTTTGGTCACCTCCAGCTGTGGCTTCTAACAAGGCTCCTTCTTTCCCAGCACCAGCCTCACCTCAGGCAGCACATCCTGCACCACTCAAATCTCCACAGTATCCTCATTCTCCTGTCCATCCCCCAAGTACTCTCAATCTAGCTGGTCCTTTCAAAGGGCCTCAGGCAACTCTAGCAAGTCCCAACCACACACCCAAGACAACACCAGTCACACCGAGTGCTGGAGGAACAAAGCCACCCTTTGAGATGCCACCAGCTATGAGTGGAAAAGGAGCACAGTTATTTGCCAGAAGACACTCTCGAATGGAGAAATATGTGGTAGATTCAGAGACTGTGCAGGCAAACATGGCACGAGCCTCATCTCCAACTCCATCTTTACCAGCTTCTTGGAAATATTCATCTAATGTCCGAGCACCTCCACCTGTTGCTTATAATCCCATCCACAGCCCATCTTATCCTCCTGCTGCTACCAAGTCTTCCTCTAAGTCCACTGCTGCTACCAAAAATACAAAAAGAAAACCTAAGAAAGGTCTCAATGCTTTGGATATTATGAAACATCAACCTTATCAACTCGATGCATCTTTATTTACTTTTCAACCTCCTAGTTCTAAGGAAAGCCTTGCTATTAAGCAGACATCAAAGTTGTCCACTTCAAAGCAAGCTCTACCTTTAAGACCACCTAGTGCTGGCTCTCCTACTAATGTTCGGGCATCTTCAGTGTACTCTGTACCAGCCTACAGTTCACAACCTTCGTTCCAGTCAAATGCCTCTATCCCAGTAAATGAATCATATTCACCTACAAGCTACTCTGCATTTTCTAAGCCAGAAACCACCACATCCTCTTTGTTTACTGCTCCGAGGCCAAAATTTTCAGCAAAGAAAGCTGGCGTCACTGCACAGGTGTGGAAGCCATCAATTATTGAAGAGTAAACCTTATAGCTGAAACCTAGTGTCCATTTTGCTTGCAATCAATTGTTTGCAGTGTTAACCTGGCATACAAACAGTGCCAGTAGTATTCCTTAGCTTACTTAATAACATCAGATATATCACCTCAAATCTGGGTCCAAAATATTTGAACTTTTTTAAGGAATCAAAATAGATAAAATAGATAAAAATAGATTAAAATATTATCAGAGGCTTTATAACCTAACATCTTGAAATGAATAGATATCATTGTATTAGGTAAGCAGGACACTAGGTTTTTGCTTTAGGACTACTACAACAGAAACAACAGTAAGCAATATTCCTGGTATGTCAAATCAATAGAAAAAAAGCTTTCCTTATGGCCCCCTCTCCACTATGTTCTAATGACCTAGGGATTTGAGGACTTTTTTTTTTTAAAAAAAAGAAGTGCCTTATTAAATGATATTAATAGTAATATGTATTACTAACATAGCATAAAATAGATAGAGTATTAGACTCTGACTGATCACTAGCAGAATACAACTGGATAGACCTTTGGCCTGCACAGAGCCCCACTGAAGTCAATCAGAATCTGTCCTGGCTCAAAGGCCCTTCCACAGAAATCTGATTGATCAGCCAAGGGCTTAGTTTGTAAGCTATGTGGATCAGCTGTGATCCAAAATCATTAATTGCCTCTGTGATTTCACAGAGAATTGCTCTAAGAGATGCTAGAGTGTTCTGAAGACTAAAAGTGGTGGAAAGACAGCTGGAAAAATTATTAATGATTTCCCATTTTGGGGAAATTTGACATCCCAAGTGCAGACGTATTTTTAGCCAAAGTTTGCCTTGAATCCAGCAAGTAAGATAGAAACCAGTAAATCAAAATTACTGAACAGAGAGGTGAGCTGGGTTTTGCAGCTGCAATGTAATGCCATAGTTTCATGTGAAAGCACAGTGATTGAGAACTGAAGGGATATATCTATATATCCAAGAGTACTGATTCTTGCAACCAGAGTAGTATATACCACAGAAATTAGCACTTAACAGTAATTCATAAATATGACCATGTCTTCCTATTGGTCTCTCATACACATTTTATTATTTTCACTTGGGGGGTTACAGTGCTTCTTCCCACTTTAAATCTTTTTACTCTGGTCTTACACTTTCACCTTTTACTTGAAGTATTGGGGACTAAGGATTTAAATACTGCTACTGTGGAAAATTCTCAAGAGTCTGTGGCCTTGAAATGAACTGTGTAATACTGCAGTGAATACACAGTCTTACTGAAATTAATGAGCTATATTTGAATAGTTTAGCATGTTTTTCAGTAAGCAGTCCTGCAACATCAGTGGTGCTAGGTCTGAAACAAGGTGTTGTTTCACACTACGGGTATCAAAATTCATCCCAAGTGATAAGCTAAAAATTAAAGCATCAGTCTGTGAATAAAGGTGGCAGAATCTTTTGATATGTTTGTTAAACTACCATTCAGCTAGCTGCAAGCCAGACTACGGATCTTTTATATCATAGGGATTTTAGTAGAACTATCTATCTTGATGAGGAGAACATTCCCCAGTGTGAACAAAATCTTCGTAGTTTGGTCCCTGATGGTAACTCAAACTCCAATCAAAGTTGAGAAGAATGCATTTAGTTGTATATGCAGAAAGCAGACTGGAATTGAAGTCTAATCAAGCCAATAAAAATCACTCCTTTGTATTTTGGGCCTCCAAAATCCTACTCTCACCTTTAACTTTTGGGTTGGGATACTGACTGCATTAGAAGAAAATCACGAAGTGATCCAAGTCCCTCATAAAATTCAGGAGAATTATGGGAAATTTTGAAAAAAAAATAGTTTGGCAAACTCAAGAAATAATTACACTGCATATACCGGGAAATAGAAAGTAGCAATATTTTAATCCTTTAGAAATCTCCCTTCTATCTGTTTTCCACTGTCAATACCTGTATTTTTCTTCTGTCATTAAACTTGTCCCTGTCCCCTCTGCCTGTTTCTTTCTTGGGTTTGGTTGCTATTTTTTTGTTTCACTTACATGTACAGACTGACAGTGTAGTTTATGGGAAATATATTTTCTATTCTATCCTGCTAATAGGAAATCTCCTCCCTCCTCTTTCATTCCCCTTCTTCTTCCCTACACTTTCCCCTCCCTTCCCTTTCCCCTTCCCTTTCCTCCCTCCTTTCCTCCCCTCTAGTAAAAGTTTTATCTGAAGTTACATACACTATTTAAGGTAGATGTTTAAGATACTGGTATCTACTTGGAATAAAGATATCCTACCAAAGATAAGTAGTGCTGCTAAAGGGATATGTAGAAATCCAATCAGCCTTACATTGTCTTACATATTTTTACTTACAGTCTCCTCCTGTAAAACACATCTGTAAATTATAATCACACTTCTGTACTTGTTCACCCTACCACACCAAGAATATTTCCTTAATAAGGAGATTTTTAGCAGTTTTGTACTTCCACCACAAGTGCTGATGTTGATGCATGTGGCTACTAAAAGATAGAGCATCTTACATAGCATGGCCATGAGTCCATATCAGGCTCAGGTCAGTAACTTTTGGAATTCATCACCAGCTACTGAGTATCCGGTATGAAATATGGCAATTATTGAAATCTAACTTCTAGCATATATATGCCTATATGACATATCAGTTTCCAAATAAGAAATAATAAGCATTATTATTATTCTAATTATCAGCAGAAGAAACAAGAGGTAAAACTGGGATATATTCTCATGCAAAGGAAATCAGCTCTCCGGAAAGACAGAAGTCAAGTTAGTAGGAGCTAGAAGAGAGCTGTGGACTGAAACAGAACATTTCAGTTTCCTGAGTTGTCTGTTAGAACTAAATTCACCTGAAATGCACAATTGTCATCTTTAAAATAATTTTGCTATTACTTTCATTTTCAGCACAGCCCAAAAGTTCACTTAGGAAGTCAACTAAATCGTATGCATTTTTACAGCAATAAGCAAAATGTCAGCTTCTGTGGTAGCAATATAAAAATACAGCTATTAGCCTATCTCCTCTTTACTTTGTCCAAAAGAAAAGGAAGTGCATCTATACTGAAAACTTGTATTTTGATCACATTTGGATTTTTTGCTTCTGTTCAAGTATTTCATACGGCCTATAGCAATGACAGAAGAATTTTTTAAGCACCCATAAGAGTTAAAAGCAACACTAGGCCTCTTAACTCAGGTAAGATCTTTTGAAAATTCCATGCAAATTCCAGACCTGAATTCAGTTTCATATATATACATCATTCTACATGCATAGTGCTTGGACCCAACTTGGCTTCAAGACTCTTTTTACTAATCAGGTAAGTCTGTAATTCTTATTAATATTTCAGAAGACTAGCCTACTTAAAGTAACAGTTTTATCCAAAATGTAATCTCTTGTGAAGCAGATATTTAGAGGAGAGTTGACCTGTTCATTGTCATGGGTCCAAATTAAAACCTAATAATGATGTCAAACAGCTGAAATGTCAAGAAAACAAATGCTTTGTGTAGAGAGGAGCCACACAAAATTTCACTTTGAAAGGGCAGTGAGTTTTCTAAGTGTTTATCTGAAAAAGCTATTAGAATTATTTTAATATGACCAGGCTACCAAGATGCAACTGCTTTGTTTCCTATGTAAGGATATTTAACAGTGAGTTTTAGGCCACCTTGAATAACAGTACTTCCAGTATGTTCACAATAAAAGAGAAATGTAATTGGTTTATGTTGGTTTTAGCACATTTAATTATAGCATATACTGGAGGTTTTATACTGCACCAGTTTGCATTTCACATTCTACACAG